AGGATTCCTGATCACCGGGAAACGCAAGACAAAAGCCACAGGAGGTGCCACCCTGCACCAGCCCAAGTGCTCCACACCACAAAGACCAGAAACGATGTTCTGCGCTGGCAGGGGTGTGGGGAAAAGAAACCCCCATATGCTGCTGGGAAACCACGTCCACCTCTACGGAAAACTATGCAGAGTTTTTAAAAAGATCTTTTTTTTTAAATAAGGAATTACCAAATAATCTGGCAATTCTACTCCTGGGTAACTACCCACAGAACATAAGAACACAAATTCAAAAAGATAGGTGCATAATTACAATCACTGCAGGACAGTTTACAACAGCCCAAATCTGGAAACAACCCAAGTGCTCACAACAGAGGTGGCTGAGGAAAATATGGCACAAAATACAGCAGGTGTTGCTCAGGCGTCGGGAGAGCCGCAGCAGGGACGGAACTGAGGGAGGCAGCTTGGCAAGTCAGTCAGAAAAAGAAAGACAAATTCCAGATGATCTTCCCCGTACGGGAAAGGCAAGCAAGGGAGGTATCAAATGAAAACGAACTTCGATTCCGACCACCTCCCCGAGGCCATCAATGTGGGGGGGGGAGGCGAAGGCACTGAAGGTGGAGCAGGCCCAGTGGGGCACGGCAGGGTCTGGGCAGTTTGGCGGTAGACGGGGTGTAGCTGCATCGTACCTATGACAAAAGAGGGTCTTGCAAACCAAACCTACCTCAAAAACGACAAAAATAAAAAATCAAGGCCTGAAGATTAAAGACAAAACAAAGCAATAAATCATAAAAGGCGGTAACTGTTTTCCATTTAGGAAAACACGTGAGAAAATCGTCAGGATCTGGAGGTGGGCAGAGTTCTAGATTTGAAGCTACAGGCATAATCCCTGAAACTGAAACTCTAAAAATTACAACTTTTGCTCCGCAAAAGCCTGCTGAAGGAGTGAAATGACGAGCGTACATGGAGAGAAGGTAACTGTAAGCTTCACCTACAATCACGCAGCATATACAAAGCCACTCTGGTCAGTAGTGACTTCGACGTGACAGTGTTTCCATATTGTGCATCATTCTGCCTAGCTGATCAGTGAACATCACTGTCTAGGTCTATGTGCCTACTCCATGACATTCACACAACCACAATGTCACCCTCCACATGTATTTCTCAGAATACATTTCCATCATCAGTAGCGCATGACTGCAGAATCTAGAACAAAGCGCTCAACAGGAAAAGACGATCCAATCAGAAAATAGAAGACACAAGCATACCTTTGGCCCACGAGCATATGCAGATGAAAAATCAGCACCAAAACGACACTGAATAAGCCTTTAGAGAAGAGCAAGCCACGTCTAACAGAGAGGACCAAATTTTTAAAATGGTGACAGTGTCAAACGCTGGGAAGGGCAGTTAAACGGAATCACTCTACGACTCTGGTGGGAGAATAAGAGTGGCACCCTGCCCTAGCTGGCTCTGAACAAGCACGCAACCACCCAGAGTCGTGCTCCTAGGAACTGACTGCAGAGAAATAAAGACTTTCATGATCACACAGAACCTGAGTATGGATGCTTATGCAGCCTTGTTTACGATAGCCCCACACAGGAAACAATTCTCATGTCCTTCAACTGAACGAGTGATTGACACATGAAACAGACCGCGTCAAATCCATACCAAGGTACAATTCAGCAAAAAAGGAACCAACGATTATTATTTGAGACTTGGACATATTTTCATAAAATTATCATTTCATATATATATATATATAAGATTTCCTTTTTAGGGTGGGGGGGTCACACCGAGCAATGCTCAGGGGTTACTCCTGGCTCTGCACTCAGAAATTACTCCCAGCAGGACTCAGGGACCATATGGGATGCTGGGATCTAATCCGGGTTGGCCTCGTGCAAGGCAAACACACTACCCACTGTACTATCTCTTCAGTCCAATTTTTCAGAAATTTATTCTGAGTTAAAAATTGTTGGTCACAAAAGGTTACTTACCATATAAATTTATATAATATATGCAGAAATTTCTATTAGTGAATAAATCAGTGGTCCCCAGGAAAGGCTGAGGCAGGAAGGAATGCAGGTATGAAAGAGCAACACCAGGGGTCTTTGTGCTGGTAAGGATTGCGAGACATGATTTGCACGAGTAGCCATATCCTGCTTATGATATTATCATTTTTAAGATGGCACTGGTGGAGGTTAAAGAGAATCTCTTTTACTACTGTAGGTGTGTTTACGCCTCAAAATAAAAACTTCAATAAAACTCTGAACACATTTCTTCATGATGTATAAGGACATTATATACACATACAACTCTGTATACATGTATGCAGACGCAGAGAAAGAGCGAGGTAAAGAGCGCTGTGAAATGTCGCCAACAGCTGACGAGACGCCCTCGTCTGAACTCCCCCGTCGGCTTCAGAGTGTGCAAAGAGGGAAGGAATCGCTTCTGTGTCCACACATCCCTGGCTCCCCAAAACATCCCGGACCAACACCATTCCTGAGCTGAGCTCTGCTCCCAAGAGGATCTGGAGCCTTGGGTAAAAGACAATCCAGGCAGCAGCAGCAGCTTTTGGGCCTGAGCTGAAGGGCGTAAAAGATGTCCTTGCCACCAGAGACAGAATACGAGATAATAAAACACAATCTCTAGTTTTTACTGTGAAAAAAAACACAATCCTCCCTTTGCTCAGCAGATGCAGAAACCACTCAGTTTTGTGCCTGGCAATATGAAGGGAACTGACCAGCCCCCCTCCCGCTGCAACCACCCCCTTTCTTTTTTAAAGCATGGATTTATTTACTTGTCTCAACGAAAGGAACAATTCAGTGACACTACTTCACCACTCCACCCATGAGGCAATTCTCAGAAGCGCTCCGGCCTCACCAGAGGTGGGCTCTCTACAGACAAAGCCAGGCTTCAGCCACTGGCCACAACAGCCTAGGCGCTATGAAAAAATGTAGACGGGAAATAGGATGAAGGCTGAACTTTTTGTGAGGATTTAATGGTACAAGGTTTATGATCAGCTCAATGTAAAAGTTCAATACACTTCTGCTATTATTAGTAGTATTTAAAATTATTTCATTAAGGAAAAAGCTGAAAGTATATTTTACAAGAAGTTATTCCACATTGTTTTAGCATTATGGGATAGAGAGAGAGAGGGAGGGGGAGAGAGGGGGAGGGAGAAAGGGAAAGAGAGAGAGAAAGAGGGAGGGAGAGAAAGGAAAAGAGAGGGAGAGAGAGAAGAAAGGAGGGAGACAGAGGGATAAAGAAAGAGAGAAGGAGGGAGGGAAAGGGTGGAAGAAGAGAGAGGGAAAGAGAAAAGGAGAGAGGGGGGAGAGAACGAGAGAGAGGGAGGGAGAGGAAGGAAAGAGGGAGAGAGGGAGAGAGAGAAAGAGAAAGAGAAGGAGGGGTAGAGAGGAAGAGAGAGGGAAAGAGAGAGAAGGGAGGGAGAGAGGAAGAGAGAGAGAGGAGGAGGGAAACAGGGAGAGAGGGAGGGAGGGAGAGGGAGAGGGAAAGAGAGAGGGAGAGGAGAGAGAGAAGGAGGGAGAGAGAGAGGAAGAAAGAGACAGGAAGGGAGAGAACATGGGTTAGCCCCTGGCACCACAAGGTCTCCTGAGCATCTCAGGCACAGCACTGGCAGTGCCCGGCAGTCCCTGCATTAGAGAGCCTGGCAGCACTGGATTCTCAGGTCCTGGCACTGAGCCGCCACCTGGATGGCTCTGAGTCCCTGGGCAGGCCGACAGGACCCCTGAACTTCTCCGAGGAGCACCGGCCCCAACTGAGAGAAGGAGCAGGAGAGAGGCAACGTGCTGCAGGAGAGGCTGAGCAGGGACCCACTCGACATGCCCCACCCCAGTCAGTTATGTCAGGCCTGGCTGGCACCTGGCCTGTGGCTGGGCAAGTATCTCAGAGACGGGCTCTGACCCCTACCAAGTACTGCTGAGGAAGGTCCCTTGGGGAAAAAGAGAACATTCCTGGGTGACAGAACTGCAGAGAATTAAGTAGAAAATCTGCACAATTACTTATTAAAAGTAAGCATCACTATCACTATCACTGTCCTCCCGTTGATCATCAATTTGTTCGAGCGGGCCCAGTAACATCTCCATTGGAGACTTTGTTGTTACTGTGTTTGGCATATCGAATACGTCACGGGGAGCTTGCCAGGCTTTGCCGTGTGGGCGAGATACTCTCGGTTGCTTGCCAGGCTCTCCAAGAGGGGCGGAGGAATCAAACCTGGGTCAGCTGGGTCGGCCACATGCAAGGCAAACTCCCTACCTGCTGGGCTAGAGAAATAAGTCACTCAGAAAAGGCAGGTCAAAAGGACTTGCTTAGTCCAAAACGTTTAAGCAAAGACATTATTGGGATCTGAATCTGGACAGCCAGCATCAGTGGCCTTCCATTCCCAATGGGCCCTTTCCTGGAATGCAAGACTCCATCTCCATGTTAGCAGGTGCGAATCTGCCCGCTCCTCCCCACCCCCACTCAACTTTTCCATCTGCTCCATCCTCTGGGCCCAGCCAGTTTCCCGCATGAGCAGGCCTGGCCACGCAGCTCCACCCCAACTGCTTCATTACAGCTTTTAGTTCTTGCCGACTTCCGCCTAAAGCCACGGAATCACTGAGCTCATAAAATCCCAACTAACTTCTCGGCTTCTCTGCTCTGGGCCCTACCATTCATGTGGTCAAACTAAATCCCCTAACACTCTACTTCTGCTGTTTCTCTTCAAAGGGTCACCCCAAATACGAACCCCTCCGCCTGGTGCAGAGGCAGAGCACGGAGGTCTGGACACTGGCAGGGAAGGGGCCTCGCTGCTCTGGGAGACACGAGAGGCCGACTGAGAGTCCGCCAGATGCCTCGGCCACGCCAGGGGAGAAGTGGCTCATGAAGCCGCAGACTCTAATTTCAGAAGAAGCCATGGCCTCAGGTATTGTTTTTATTTCTTGAGTGCAGCTGGTTAGAACTGATACCGGAAACAAATTATTCAAAGGATTCCTTTAAAATGGGAGGGAACCTACCTGGTAGAGGCAGGCTGCTGTGCCAAGGAAAAATGCAACGACATAGTTAAAATCCTCACCATCACTCTGTGGAAACAAAATAAAAACATTGTTATTTTTTATTCCAGCAGATAGATGCCTGCTTCTACAAAGAATCCACTGGAATGGGGTGTGATGAGACTCACGCACAGTCAATATTTTTATAAGCTGATACTAGGAAGCTCCCAAGCATCCCATCATGGAATCAAGATGTATCCCAAGAACCAGAGTGGGAAAGAGTGGGGGCTGCTGGCGCTCCCCGAGGCTCGCTCTTCCGCTTGGTCCTTTCTGCACAGAAGAGGAAAGGAGTCGGGAAATGCTCCTCCTCCGCGTGGGAAATCTCTTCTTTTTACTGAAGAAACCACATAAAAACGCACACTGCCTTCGCTGTCTAGAAGGCCGCTAGTCATTGTGGGACTCAAATACTGACAAACTATCCAGTAAGTGCCTCACTGAACTGTCTAATAAAATTTGATATGATAAAAAAATGAAAAGCTACTGTCCACTAGAGTGTGCTACATCCCAAGGAAAACAGGCACACATGCTATGCTAGAAAAACAGCCAACACGTAGGAAAAAAGACAAATCTTTCTTTTGCGAAGAAACTAATGAAGACATTCAACAAACAATGTTTTCCCATTCTTTTTTGATTCTTCTTAAATACCTTTATACTTCTTTCAATGTTTTGTCTGGTTTTTTAATTTGTACCAAGCAGAACATAAAATCCAGGCAGGACTATTTTTTTCCCCACAGGCAGGATTATTAAATTTCTTTTTTTTCTAAGAAAGAACATTAAATTGGCCCTTATTTTAGAAAAAAAATCCCTTTGTACAATGAAAATTTCTACAAGTTATGGGAGTGTCTCTCATACTACATTTTCACAAAGTAATGAAAGGAGAAAAATCCTCGCCCCACTTATTATTGGAAAATAAAACAGACTGCCAGGCGGAGGGCCTGGGGCGTTATGTCCTGGTAAGAGGATCTTCAAATAGAACCAGTCATCTGTCTGGGCACTTGGGCCAGAACCCCCAAGGCAAGGAAGGTCAGTACAAAACCTTTCTCCTTTAATCACTTTAATCACTCTAAGACTTTGAACAAGATCTGCTAATTGTCTTCTCTCCAGTCTTTATTTTTTAGATGGGTCATCTTTCTAATTATGGAGGTTTCATCTTTATCTAAGGTTTTAATTCATGCTGATTTTTTCTTTTGTCCTTTTTAAAAATAATTTTTCTAGTTATAAAAGTTCATCTTCATTCACTTCATGAATTCTGCAGTATCTGGAAAACAGACTGCACAGAAGAGGAAAGGAGTCGGGAAATGCTCAAATTCGCCATAATCCGACCGTGAGAGAATTGCTGCTGTTTCATCTCTTTCCTTCCAATATTTTCCTTACAAAAATAAAAGTACATTAAAAAAACAAAATCACACTTTAATAAAGTACTACTCAGTTATTTCCCATTGTATCAAAATTCGTTTCTCAAGATACTAAATGTTCTTCAATGGCATAACTTGCAATGACACCTAAACTCTCACTGCAGGCTATGCCATAGCTAGTATCCTACACCTGGACATCGTTTTATGATGTATTTGCTTTTAGGCCACAGCAGGTAGTGGTTAGGGCTTATTCCTGGCAGTGTGAGGGAGACCGTGTGGTACCTGGGATCGAATGCGGGTCAGCCATGTGCAAGTAAAGTTTCGTGCTCCTTGTACTATACTGCCTCTTCAGCTTCCGTTATATGACTCTTTTAATCGCCCTGAAATATTCAGAGCTCATTCCTTTTTTTCCTCCCTCCCTCCCTCCCTTTTCTTTTTTGTTCTTTGGGTGACACCCACCAATGCTGGGGGTTACTCCTGGTGGTGCTTGAGGGACCATAGGGGATGCTGGGGATCAAAAGCACTGGACCAGGAAATCTAGTTTAGTAGTGATCCACTTAATTTTTTTAAAAATTATTATTAGTGGAACACCATGAGGTACAGTTGTAGACTTACAAACTTTTGTGCTTGGGTTTCAGTCATACAATGATCGAGTCCCCATCCCTCCACCAGTGCCCATTCTCCACCACCACTGATCCCAGTAGGCCTCCCACCCCTCCATCCCCACCCCCCTTTGTGGCAAGGCATTCCCTTTTGCTCTCTCTTTCCTTCAGGGTGTTGTGGTTTGCAACAGAGGTATCGAGTGGCCATCATGTTCGGTCCACAGTCTACTTTCAGCAGGCATCTCGCATCCTGAACGAATCCTCCAAACATCCTTTCCTTGGTGTTCCCTTCTCTATCTGAACTGCCTTTTCCCCCAGCATGTGCTGCCGGGTCCAAGCCATGCAGCAGACCTCCCGGAACTTATCTCAACTATTCTTGGGTGTTTGTCTCCCATTCTGCTACTTTATATTCCCCAGATGAGTGCAATCTTTCTATGTCTGTCCCTCTCTTTCTGACTCATTTCGCTTAGCGTGATACTTTCCATGTAGAACCACTTGTATGTAAATTTCATGACTTCATCTTTTCTGACAGCTGCATAGTATTCCATTGTGTGATCTACTTAAATTTTAATTATATGGAAGACCCATGACAGATAAATACAAGTCAAATTTTTATGTCCAGAAACCCAAGCATGTGCTTCAGCTCTGGACCCTCTCCCAGCACTCAGGAGGAAACTGGTGAGCTTAATGGTCAGTATTAGAAAGATTCGTGAGAGCAGCAAGCGATCATGGCTGGGGGCAGAGAGCTGAGGCCAGGGGCTCAAACACACGCTCTGCATGCAGGCCGGGTCTGCCCCCAGCACTGCGCACACAGCTCACAGCAATCCCTGAACACTGGTAGGTGTGGGTCTAGAAACAGATCAATGAATTAAGAGGTAAGGAAATGGGGACTACTCTTCAACAACTCACAAGGGAACATAAAGCAGTTTGGGGATTGTTTGCTGCTTCTTTATAACTGGCGGGCTCAGGGCAGGAGCGATTGTAGGGCGTTTGCCCTGTGCGTCGCTGACCCTGATTTGATTTCCAGCATCCTGTATGGTTCCTACGCACTGCCAGGAGTGACTCTTGAGTGCAGAGCCAGGAGAAATCCCTGAGCATCATCAAACAAACAGAACAAACCCAAAACACCAGCAGGCTATACCGTATTTGTGGGCTGAGAGAAAAGCCAGCTGAGAGATGAAATGCAGGGGAGGGAAAACAGTCAGGGAAGGTGGGCCAGGGCTCAGAGAGGGACAGAGTGCACAGAAGCTGGCAGCGGAAAGGAGCAGCAGTGCTCAGGGACACGTGGTGCCAGTGCAGGTGCCCAGCTGGGACCCAGCATGGTGTCAGAACAGGAGCCCGGCTGGGGACCCCACATAGTGCCAGGGCAGGAGTCTGCCCAGGGACCCCGCACGGTGTCAGGGCAGGAGCTCGGCCAGGGACCAAGCATAGTGCCAGGGCAGGAGCCTGGCTGGGGACCCCACATGGTGCCAGGGCAGGAACCCGCCCAGGGACCCTGCATGGTGCCAGGGTAGGAGCCCAGCCAGGGACCCCGCATGGTGCCAGGGTAGGAGCCCAGCCGGGACTCCAACTGGAGATTGGAAGCCCCACCCATTGAGTCATCTCCCCAACCCCAAAGAAGAAAAATTTAATAAATTCACCTCCAGGAAATGCTAGAGCACTAACATGTTGTTTTGAAAAGCAAAGGAAGAGAATATTTATTTTTGGAATAAGAGGTAAGAGGATGAAGAGGGAAAGAAAGCTCCCTATCATAACTGTACAATGTGCTCAGATGACACTGTCCTCCCGTTGTTCATCGATTTTCTCGAGCGGGCCCAGTAACGTCTCCATCATAAGACGTGTTGTTACTGTGTTTGGCATATCGAATATGACACGGGGAGCTTGCCAGGCTCTGCCGTGCGGGCGAGATACTCTCGGTAGCTTGCCGGGCTCTCCAGGAGGGGCGGAGAAATCACACCCGGCTTGGGCAGGCTGGCTGTGCACAAGGCAGACGCCCTGCCGCTGCAAGAATTCATCAATATTAACATAATCTACGGGAGAAAGGACACAAAATCATATAATGGATGTGTATGTATAATGTGGAGATGTGTTTATGTATCAACTGTATATTCATCTCTCTACATACATATATATCTGCGATATATGGTATATTATTATATGGATAAATATGATAAATATGGATAAATTTATTTGTAATAAACGTATAAGAAACAGAAAACTTGGGGATGGTTTTCATTAGATTCTTTACAAATTTTCCCCAAATTCTTTAACAATGAGCATAGAATCAGAAAAATTAGGGGTTTTTTTCCTCCTGAAAGAGCAACACTGCAATAAATAACACTAAATAAATAAACCTCCATCGTGCTTTAACATTTTACAATTTATTTTAAAGGTATTCAAAGTCTATGGTAAATAAGGAACTCAAAGCAAACAGTTTCTATTTGCTTTGTGATTACAATGTCAGAATCAGAGTTTCAGAATGTTCCCTCATCTACCAGGACAGGACAACGAGACCCAAGAAGGCAGAGAAACCTATTCCAAGACCACAGTTAGTCACTAGCTGATGGGACCAGGCAATGGCTCCAGGTTGGCATTTCCACTGCAGTATCAAAAGACTCGATTTTTCCTAATCCACCATATTCAAATTACTTCCAGTTTGGCATAGGCCTAATTAAAATCATTGCTTCCAGGTTGATTCTTAAAAGAACACAGGCAATACAAACCAAAGGAGATAAAAAATTTATGCATTTATGAGGTGCCAATTCACAATAAGCTTATTAACATCTTTAAACTCAGAACAAAGTTAGAAAAATGAGTGAAAATAATCTAATTTACACATTACTGTGCATGCAAAATCAAATTTGCCAACTTAAAAAAAATCATACTCATAGCAAACCTCCCTAATCTGAACTTAGATTAAAAAAATTTTTAGTGCTATATATTTTAATAAATTCTTTGCTATCAACCAAAGAGGCAGTTATTACTCTAGAAAAAAATGAACTGTGCTGAATCTTCAAACAACATTCACAATATACAAGAATGTTGATTCATACCAGCTCTCAAATTTATACAT